CCCATAATATTAACAAATATCATATAATATTCTCAAAAAATATTATATTATAAAATTTTTTCTAATAATATTCATAGAACATTCTAGGAATATTTTACACTTATAGGGACGTTATTAATTAAGAAATTATTAAATAAATACATATTTATAAATTGATATTATTATTCAATAAAATTCATTAATTAAAAAACAAGAAAACAGATGATTAATAACATAATATGTAATATATAAATAACATAATATCAATAAAATTTTATAAATTAATAGAAAATACAGATGGATGTATCTATTAATTAAATAGAGAATTTGATTTGAAAATTCTTCCACATCTTTCTAATCTGTATTGAGAACATAAAGAGATTAAGCTATGACCAGTTGGGAAAGGTTCAAGTCGAAATTATGAAAAGCCATATGAAGACTAACGGGGAACCGAACCGGAAGTTAGCTATCTCACGGCGGCAGCAGCAGCACAAAGGGTGGTACTTAAAAATTCAATGCATTTCAAATGGGCTAGAGATCCGTCCTCAGGCGCAACGAGCGGCGCCATTTTCACTCGCGCTGGCGCAGCCATTTATCGAGCTTTCGTTTTTCAGCTGACCTGATGTCCTTTCCCTACACGTTTGAGAAAAATTCCTGCTATTCCATGTAATGGCGCGTACAAATAACACGTAAGCGACCGATTAGTTATCGCTTTTGTTCGCCAATTGGATCAATAATACTGACAGATTGCACTGACATAATAACGTGCTAATTTGAGAAATTAATTAATTTCAAACCAAAGTTACTTTAATACTTTTAGTTCTTTAATTTGATTCTTCTTTTCAATTCTTTATAACTTTTCAAATTTTTAATTCTTATATTTAATTCAAAGAATTTATATTAATTTTCAAAAATAAAACATCAAATTTGATGTAGGTATATTTTTATATTTCATTTTTCCAATTTTTAATCGTGAAATCAGTCAATGGCCTCCTCTTAAGCATATGTAAGGTAAACAAAAGATAATAACTGCGGTAAACATACGAAAGCGACAAAACGTTATCTTAAATTTCTGACGAAGTTTAAACTTTTTCAAGTTTGTTTACAGTATCTAAAAAAAAGAATGCTTATAATTATATTTAACTAACATAGTTAAGTTAATTAAACAGATTATCGATAAATAGAATATTTTTTATGATAATACTTTAAACGATATTTTTATAAATCGATGCAAACCGTTATAAACAGAAAAAAAAACAAAAGAATATACGAGAAATTAAATCGTGAAATTGCTAATGTTTCATTAATGTTTCATCAAAATCAAGAAATTCAAGAAATTTTGTCTTATGTTATGTCTTGAATCAAGAAATTGGAAATTGATTTCAAGATAAGACAAGAAATTGTTATCAAGACCAAGATTTTTTGATAATAAGTCAAGAAATTTCTTGAAATTTCTTGAATTTCCGTGACAGTTTTATTTTTAATATTTTATTATTTTAATATTTTATTATTTTATTTCTGATTTGAAAAGTTTTGAATAAGTTAGGTTTTAACATTTTCAATTATATTTATTGGTATTTATAACAGGTTATAACATAGAAATATACATTTATACATTTTCACTAAATAGCAAAATATGAACAGAATGTAAATCGATTATTGAAAAAGTGAAATCCCTGATCTAACTAAATTAAATTATATTCATCGATACATCCTTGTTATACTAGATTTATTGATATTAACCTTTATATTTATGTAAAGGAATATAT